CATACATTTTCTTGAATATTACTTTTTCTGACTAGCGAACATAAGAAAACTTTATTAATTTAATATTTATTTGATCCGGTTAAAAAGTTGTCGGTTGAAGAATGTATTATTATATGTATAAATATGCCATCACAATCGCGGTTGAAATAAATATTAATACAGATGTTGTATTATAAGTTTCAATTAGGTCCTAAAAAATTTCTTACTGGATCATTTCGTATTTCTGAAATAAATTGCAACCAAAATATATAAAAATGCTCCCAGTTTTTCCCGCTTTCACAATTCACTTGAGCACAGCATAATAAATGACTCAATTAAAATAGGTAGGATAAAGGAGGCTTGTGGACTTGATGGGAGACTCCAATAAAAAGCATTGGATAATAATATATCCAATGCATCCAATAAAAGCACTGGATGGTTCTCATGCATCCTGCCAGGATTTAAAAATTAAGAACATTATACGGGCAGACCAATCATTGCAAATGCGAAATTTTGTCCTAGAATTTAAACAATCTGTTACAGAGTACGGGATCTTGCTATATATCAGAACCTGGCGAGTTCTTCGGGTATTATACTCCTAAAGAAAACCTAATGGAATTAATGATTCGTTCAATATGTGATTGAATTTTTTACCTCCCCAATAAAAAATTTCCCTATATTTTTTATTTCCTCAGAATTCGTGCAGAATTTTCTGTGAAGAACTCAGTGGCACGTCAAGGAATAGTTCATCTCTGAGTTCCCTCTACGAATTTGTAGGTATCTTTCGGTTTGGCAACTGCTTGATTACATTCATTTTTTGAGAACGGAATTCTACCCACAATTATTTCTCATACATTAGATTGTATTACTTTGAACTCTACAGTCTACACATGTTCATGTACAGCATAGTAGACATTGAATAAAATGTGTGCAGGGATTTTGTCTTACCTCGATTTATTTCACTTCTAAATTAAAAAAACTTGTTCAATTGTGTGCCTAACTGCGCTCGCTGTTCTACGAAGGATTACAAGCAATGTGAGACAAACTTAAACAAGTTTCTGAACAAGTTGTTGAAGAGATTTAGAATTTAGTAAGCCTGCCCGACCCAAATGACATAGCGCTATAGGTAAAAAAAAAACAATGAAACGTTGAAACAGTTAGCGAATCTGCTAAGTTCTCCTGATCGGATGAGTTTTAAGTTAGAAATGTGCTGAAGTTTATCTAACCATGGCCCGGTGCCTCGTGAGCTTATTCTAACTTTAAAACAAATATACAAGGGTTCTTTGGGTTCGAGAGCGCATCTTGATGGAAACATCAAAGGAGCCTGATGACCGCTTCTATAAATTTTTCTTTAACTGAGTATATTACCTGTCCGGGACGCAGGCGCAAACTTATGTGCGGGTCGCCGATACCATTTATTACTCCTAATCAGTCGACCTAACCTTAGTGTGGTTGTGGTCAAAGAATGATATGTTGTCCCATATGGAAAGAGCAGAAAGTTGTTTTTGGTGACGTCAGTTCAGTTTTATAAATACGAGTATTCTAGTTTAGATTCGTATCGATTCTGAGTTATACGGATTATGCACTATTGTGAAATATGAAATTTGATTCCGTTCGTAAAACATTAATACATTTTATCTAGCTATATACTGTATTTGATGCATCGTTCATGATAGGTAGTAAGTCGTTAAATTAAGACGCTTTTCTTGCTCCCCAGGTTGGAGGGTGTTTGTTTCTTCTAATCACCTGCGTTACTAATGAGAATTTGTGAAGATACTTGTACTGTTGAAAAAGTTTGGCACCGGACACGCCAACAGTTGTTCGGAATTTGAACTTGGGCCCTGACTTGACCTCCCGGTAAATTTGTGTTACTGCCATAAGTTAATTTGTAATTCATATATATTTTTTGTTTGCGTTACTGGCCACGTGTCTTCGATCAATTTAGGTTATTATCTCTACTTGTTTATTTACTGAATGATCACTTCTGGTTTTCCATTCATCTTCGTTTCATTTTCCCAAAAAGTGTTACGCCTCCTAGACCGATGACGCTGAGCCTGTCTTGTCCGCTCAACGTCTAAAATTATTAATTGTTGCACGCTTTCCTGCAACAACACGTTCAGATGAAAAGATTCTAAATCGTAGTCAACGAGCATAAAATTACAATAAAACACATAAAGTTATGAGCAAAAATTATAAAAGAATTACGAGCACAAAATTATATCCATACAAACCATCCAATTTAACGAATGAGTGAAAGATTGAAGACGACAAATAACGTTGAAGAACAAACAAGATATGAAAGAATTTATTGCGCTGGAATATATTATACGTTATTATATTCACTGCTTCGTTTCCAAAACACTTGATTCAACATCGGTGTCCCAATGATTTCATCATAGATAAATGGAGTATGATAAAAAATATCATATTGCGGGAGACTATGACTCTTATTCCCATAGCTACATTGTAGCTGCGTTATTCGTCCGTCTTTTGTTTGTCCAGGTTCACGCTGGTGACGAGTAGGATGCGTCGCAATCGCCCAGGGTCTTTTTAATGATCAGCGTTGAGGGTGACTGCAATCTCGTGTCGCGTGAACTTTGGAAACTTAATTAGTAATTTTATCGATCCTATGGTACAGTAGTTAGATTGCCGCAGCAGTGACCTTCCTTATCTCTTTGAGTGGCGGGTGGACGTGAGCATCAGACTCCCTCTTATGGTTACGAGAACTTCGAATGAGACACCTTGAATTTCCCAATGCACTGGACTATTTGAAGAGCACAAGCTTTATAAGAGTGGAAAACCGATAATTCGTGTAGTCGAGTAGTTCTCGTTGGTCGATAAATACGCCTGGAGACCAGTTCTTCTACTGTCTCGCTACTAGTAGTTGTTCGTACGTTTTCGCATTGTGGATTCAATGGTGTTTGACAAGAGGATTAGGGGTAGTGTTTAAAGCAGATTTTAACAAGGTCTCATTTTTGAGGGCTTTACTCGTACCTTGACATGATGCGCATTGGTTTTTGGAGTCTATGAGTAAACCTTTGTACCCATAGATTCAAGGAAGTTTTTATTATCACTATCGCGTCAAAAATTGACGGATAGCCTAAATATGTTGGAAGCTCTCCCACAACAACATAACATCATCATTTCACAAAACCCGGAGGAACGTTAGATTAGTTAAAATTTATTAATTAACAATAAAATAATGTAAGTTTTGCAATAATACAAAAATTCTGGTAACACATCATCCAATTTACCAAAATTGATAGCAAGCACCGACGACAAAATCGACAATTATTTGGCTAAACAAGGTTTATTGCTAAAAAACTATTGAAGTACTGCAGAAAGCGTCTGTATTTTCATTAAAAACTTCGTTAATTTTTTTTATCATGCGAGTCTGCCAAATCGGATGTAATGAATCACAGTTCTTAAAACCATATTCCACAAGTGCATAAATTTGCGCTTGAGGCTCAATATTTCCCCACTGCATCCCCGTGTGAACTAGTGAGTATGTGTACGAATTGAGACACGAATTCATATGTGGACACGAACCGATGAATTGCGCGTATCTGGGATAACATATGAGGAAGGAAGAGGTATAAAATGTAACAGTGTAGTGAAAGGTACAAAAATATTATATTTTCTGAAAAACGTCAGAAATAATTGTGGAATTTACTCTTTTATCTTGCCTATAAAACCGAAAATGGAAAAAAATTTGAGTCATGAGGTTGATTCATTGCTTTACTTCAAATGCGAAAAGTTCTATTTGTATTCGCATGCACTAATGATGCAACTACTTATCTATTATGTTGATTGTATGTTTCTGCAGCGACAACAATATTACTATTGTATATTCTGGTCAAACTTGGGCGCACTCAGTGAACGTCGTATTCAATCTTCAGATCCATGTGTTACGCCGTGTTTGATCTGCAAGCAATAGCTGCATGTCGCATCGTTTGCGTAGGCCGGTGAATCTATCTAGCTAGAAACGGCAAGTTCGACTGTTATATAATTATTAATATCTACACTATCTACCAATATCTCATGCAGCTTGGGATATGTAATCAATAGGATTAAAACTTAAAGGTAAAATTTTTATATATGAATCAATATTGGATTAAATTTTTCGTTTGCTTAAAATTAGGAATTATTGTAGATTTTTTTTAGTTTCTCGTGCTTTATTGAACCGATGATAAAGCATACTGAAAGAATAAATAGTAAAATCATTCTTATCCAAACCGATAATCGTTTTGCAAAAATTATAATGTTCATGAAATTGTGCAACTTGGAGTTGATAGTGATGTTACACGGAGGCAAACACGAGCATGTGAAGCCATGGCGGCGGCACGCTGCCCGTGGACAAGTCGTGCTTAAATCGGATCGCTTTGCTTCGGGTGTTGAAAATTATTAAAATCTCAGAGAAAATTTGTAAATAGTAAATATTTGCTTGAGTCTCAACTTTTGATGTCCCAGCGCCACTAAGAAAATCATACTGAATTAATAATCGATAACGCTATTGACGTGGAATTATCAGTGAAAAATATCGGGATCTCAACTACTGCAGTAAATAATATTTAGAAGAGTTGGAAACTGCTGCCGCAAATAAAAAAAACTTGGCAGAACTCAAGAACGATATGATGTTTCTATAACGTGAATGGCTATTTATAAATGGATACAAAACACGTATTATTGGAAGTTTTTGCGGTTAATTTAAGTATTTAAACTAACACGATAATTGACAGAGATCATTCGGCTGAGTATTTGTGATAAAATTGCTTTTATTATCCCATAAATTTTTTGTCTTTTTCGCGAAGTTGTGCGCTCATTTGCAGTCTGTTACTCTAATTACGATCATAAAACAGGCTTTTTTATACCGCATCTATTGGTATATTTCAGAATTTATTTCGTGTCATTGCTTTCGTGTTCAACAAGGAAGCCTATGTCTCGTTATTCATAATTTATTTTGAACGTCCAGCCGCTCTCGTTCATCAGAAAAATTCGAAAACTTATGTTGATGTTCACAGGAGCTAGTGGCCTCCTACAGGCGCTGGAGGTGCCACAATACGCCTTCGTGTCGGGCACCGCGACGCTGCGCTGCGACTACGACATGAGTGACACCAAACTCTACTCCCTGAAGTGGTACCACAACGATACAGAGTTCTACAGATACGTGCCGACAGAGAGAAATGGACCGGTCAATATTGGCCCAACGGACATCTTCCTTTTGCATGTGAGTTGAAACTTATGGGCGGAAACTTATGAAACTTATTTGGGCGGAATAGACATGGTGTAATGCATACACTGTTCATGATAAATCACTTCCGGAAAAGGTGTTACTGGTCAATATTGGCCCAACGGACATCATTCTTTTGCATGTGAGCTGAAGTTGAAACTTATTATTGGGCGGAATAGACATGGTGTAATGTGTACATGAAAAATCATTTCGGGAAAACGTATTAAATCTGTATCATGATCTAACGATTATTTCCTCCATTATGCCGATTTGCTTATTAATATCTAAATGGATGCGATGCTAGGTGCTCATCACGTCTCTATCGCATATTAAGTAAAATTTTGAGACGAAATCCAATTCTTCATTCAGAATTTAAACATTATTTTAATATTAAATATTGAATTTAAATATCTCCGTCAAATTAAATAGTTCGATTTAAATATTTCCATAAAATTAAATAGTGCGATTTAAATATTTCCATCAAATCAAATAGTTCAATTTAAATATTTCCATCTAATTAAATAGTTCGATTTAAACACATCCATTCTTTTGCATGCGTTTGCCCCAGGAGGTGTCCCGCGACGCCCGCCACGTGACGCTATCCTTGGGACGCCTGACGGCGGCAGCGACAGGGACGTACAAGTGCGAGGTGCTGGCCGAGCATCCCTCCTTCAGGACCAAGTCTGCTCAGGCCTTCATGACGGTCCTCAGTGAGTGCATTGCATTTTTCCAATAACCGAAAAACTATATTTTACAGCCAAATTTATTCTTCTTTATTCTTCTTTTAATTCTTTTTATTCTTCTCTTAATTCTTTAAATTAATCATAATTAAGCGTCACGCAAAATAGTTGGAAGCATTGTAAAAAACGAGAATTGAGGCGCCCTACTTAGTTGTTACGTTTTTAAATAAAACGTTTATAGAATCAGGAGCATCAATTACGATGATGTTAAAATGTATATTTTCTAGTTACTGGTTTAGGAGATATACCAAAAAGCTGCATCAACTTATTCGCTTCTTCCATCGTAAAGGGCGCTTGAGAGGCCATAAGTTTTTATAATTTTTTTATGTTATTTCCATGTAAACATTTGATGCGATGAAGGAATCTTAAAAAATCGAATGCATCTCTTTAGAAATAAACCTTCGAATAAAACCCAAGTTATTTAAAACCGGCGCGCATCTTCTGAGAAGCTGGCCAACTTAGAGAAAGATGGCTGAAATCATCACCAATAAAATTTCAGGCTGGGGATGATATATTGGGTAATATCTTTGAACGTTTAATGGGAATTATTTTACAGTCATTTTCGATAAAAATTCGTAAAATAGTTCAGCCTGGCCTAGCAGCTGCTGATAGCTGAATAAGGTAAAATGTTACCATGACCGCAATTCGGTGGCCAACAATCAAGTGAATTCCTAATAGAAATTACGTGAAACATTATGTTGTTGATGTTGAGGGATAATTGTTTACGGTATATTAGGGAGATAAACTCGGGCTTGTCGAAACAGCCTGTGTCAGGATATTAGGAAGGAGTCATGGGCCCATATTTCTCAACTCGGTTCCGGTGTTTTGGTATTTCTTGCGGCAGAAAAAACACAAATCTGGGCGCAGGAAAACTTCATCTAAAATATGCCGAGAGCCTCCAACGACCGCCTCCTTCACGTTGATTTGTTAGTTCCTTAATGCCATTTCGCCGAAAGTTGAGGAGTGTTTTAACGAAAAAACCTTATGAGATTTTAAAAACTTTAAAATGTAACGATTCATATAATAAGATTTCCTAGCATTCAAACAGCAACCCGATTGCTTCAATTCTGAATTCTCTCGCAGGAGAGACGATTATTAAGTGAGTAACATATATGCTAAGTCAATCAGAAGAGCTTCAATCGTGCCAGCGAATGCTTCACTGACAATAGAGAATGAGGGAGACTCAATATGTATGCACAATGCCATGTCTAACACGACTGACAGAAATCCCAGCGGGCAATGTCAGGTTGAATCAACGTTCAAACAAGGATGCTTCGCGACGTTGAAATAACGTTGAATTTTGACGTCAAAAGCGCATTTATGAAAGGGTCATGATCATGAATGTCATAGTACTCGCGCTAATTCAACTCTGAAACAACGCCGAAGTGTACGACGTTAAAAAAAAATAGAAAATAACTTTGATTCACTTTTCATTCTGGAATAATAATCAACGTTATTTTAACGTCGTGAGGTACGTTGTTTCAATTTTGATTCAACCTGACATTACCTGCTGGGATGGTTCCTGTTTCCAATGTTGAGTTAGTCTTCTCAATGCGGATATACGGATAAATTCTATTACGGATAAATTCTATATACGGATAAATAAATATACGGATAAATTCTATTTACGCCTAAATTCCATTTGTCCGTTTAATTTTATTCCAATTAATTTTATTCCTGATTTCTCCAAAGTTAGAGAACAAACCTTTTGTATTTAACATAATTTTAAATCAACCGTAGTTAGCTTATATGAAAAAAAACTCGTCCAAAAATTACACCCAAATATTAAAATTCTTTGGATTCAGTTTAACTTGATAAAGTAAAATGGGAAGGCTTGATCTAGTGATATGATGTTGAAAAATTACTTTGGAAAGAATACTCATTTTCCTTTATAGTGAAAAAGAGGTCTCAACTTAAGGGCATTACTAATTCTGAAGCAAATGAACTGAAGCAGATTAACTAAGACAGAATCAGGACTGCTAAATCGTGTCTGCGTTTCATAATAATGAGCTTAACCTGAAAACTAGGCACCATTTTGCATGATAGATGAAACGATTAATTAATTATTTTCATCAAGATTTTTGAGCTGACTTTCTCTAATGACTTTTCAGTCCTCGTAAATGCAGTAATTTCAGCTCGAGTTGAAGCAAAAGCTGCATTACATTCCCTCGAATCTTGCGCTCGCAATCCCTAAACCTGCTCGTCGGGACAGGCACTAAAGACCTTGGCGTCTTAGATAAGTTTTGCAGACAAGGCGAGGTCTGATCAAGATGTAGCCTTACTAAAGAAAATCACGATACAAAATTGAGAATTATCTCCTTAATTTCTTACCTGCGTTCTAATTTTTTTCGAAATGACACTGCTTGAGCTGGTTCGGTGAAATAAAAAATTTCCTTGCTACTTTAGTGGATGAATTTGTCGGGATCTTAGCTCATATCAGAGTTAATTAATAATTTTCTTTTCTGAATAGTGAAATAATTATAGATTTTGTCAGCAATTTATCAAGGTATGTCAAAAAAAGATGAACCATTGGACTTGTTTTATCTTTACAACGGATTCGAACTTTACCGGGGCAAGAACACTAGTCACTCACTCGGTACATAGAGCAATATAAATTGTTTACCGCATATACGAACTCCCATCCTTCTCTGAAACGCATTTGAACCTGTTATGTAATTAAAGCAGAATCTCATAATTTCATTTTGAATACAATATAATTTCTGCTAAATTTGTTAAATTGTTAATCATAGTTGAGAAATGCCCCAACTTAAATAATAAATCTAAAAATTGAGGATTTGGATGTTGTCCCTACTAATGAAGTATTGTTGAAGCTTATTATAATTCCAAATTCCAAGCTTAAAATATGTAAACGGACCAACATACATACACACAGACTTTTCAAGTTTATCCTGGATGCTAACCTGTCTTAATTTAATATAATTTTTAAAATTTTTTTTATATTTTTTTGATTTTATTTTGTATATTTTTTAGATTATTTTTACATTCTTTTCAGATGAATTATCTACTTAATTATTTATTATTAAGTTAAGCATACTTAATCCTTAATTATTAATTAATTAGTACTTAATTAATTAATTTAATTAATACTTAATTATTTATTATTAAGTTAAGTAAGTTGAACTTACTTATTTCCATTAAGCAAGTTCAGCGTATGCCATGTTTTCATTCAGCAGGTGCGCGCTTGGGTCCCCCAGAAATAAGAGGCGTGCGCGACATGTACCAGCCTGGGGACACTATAGCGGTGACGTGTCATCACGGCAGAGACTCGCCGTCACAGCCGCGGCCGCGGCTCAGTTGGTTCATTGACGGCAAAGAGGTGACCGTCCCAGCTCAAACTCGGACTAATTATAAATTAGTTAATTTATTCTTATTATTTAATAGTCTAGAAATAATTTTACTTGTGTATGAAAATTATTCAAAGAAACCTTATTCTAGTTGTGATATAATTTAATTTCCATAATGCTGTATTACAATATTTTACACTCATTAATTTTCTTGCGACACTATACGTATTTAACCATATGTTAGAAGAACGTATTTAATAAAACGTATTTAAGCATGTGGTAGAATAACGCATCATTTCGATGTACTTTCTGCTATATGCGAGCAGGTGCGTATTATTATGCCGGTGCTCGTATAATGCTATTAAGAACTCTATTTGTCATCAACGCGAACTCCTCAGTTGGCGGCTAACTGTGGAAAAATGCCTCAGTTTATATTAATTAATAAATCCGTGTGTCTATGGCGCGAGGGTTCAACTCATTCATGGTAATTTACTAAGAGTCACGAAAATACGTGACGTTGTTAACAATATCCTATTTAATAACATGATTGATAAATGTTACTAGAAGCTACTAGAAGCTATTTGTCCTTTTAAAATGTAAACATAGGAAAAGGTTACACAACAGCAGAAATTGCAACAGGCAATTTACTTCTTGGATTGTCAGAAACTCTTTTTAGACGAACGCACAGAAATTATTCAAATCGTAAGTTGAAGTTGAAAAACTACTCGTCAACATAGGAGCAATGAAACTCTGCAAGTTACAAAAATGACCGTTAAAAATATGTAGTAAAGCTTGAATGCACTTTGTAATTCAATTTTTCAGAATTCCAATTCATATTTTGAAGATTTTTGTCCACTTGTGTTTTTTTCTCCTGCCATGAACTATTTTTGAATCAATTCTCTTTCCTCTGCGCGACTCGCCGCACAAATGCATTAAAATCCAGCTTCCTGGCTGATTCGATTAAAGAAGCTCGTACATTGCTCCAAGGCTGGATATTTGCATAATGTCAAGTAGCAATTTTTGCTTTAGATTACATAAAACCCGGCGCACGACTTGGCGTGCTACGAGGGCTCGTAGCTCACTGCCAGGCAGTCTCGCATTACGGCGCTCGTTAAAAGGATGGAGGCCTGTGCTCATCAGCGGCCCGCATATGGTGATGCAAAAAAAAACATTTTTCTACGCATACATGAGCGACGTTGCCGAATTTTAAAATTCATCCCTACACATTTTGTGACACGTCAGCCACAGCGTATTTTATTTTGAATGAAGAATTTTTTACAACGATTCAATGGTGAGGACGTGGGTGCAAACATCATGTGGTTGAATATTCAAAAGGATTGAAATGGGATTGAATAACTCCTGAAAATAAATATTTTTATAGACGGCATTAGCTATACAGCGAAGCAAAATGTCATGGAACATGAATCGTTTCGAATTCAGAAACCTTCTTGACGCTTCGAAGGCGCAAAATAAATCAGCTTTGGAGGCCTATGCAATGTCATAAATTTTACAGGCAACATTTTTATCAAGCTTTGTATTAAAAATCAAGTAGGACGTAAATCTAAGCTTCGAGCAGGTGAGCCTGTATTGGCATTTTTTCTGAAGTGAATCGGGAAATATTTCAGGAAAAATTATTTGCTGTGACTTGCAGTAAAATATTAATGTGAAAGAAGTATTTAAATTCAAGAACTTTAAAGACAGTGCAGGCTCAAACAAAACGCTCGTAACAGGCCAATGGAAAAATATAATATTGCATTTACACTTAGAATTCAATTGAGATAATTTTCTGATGTGAAATATCTCAGCTCTTTTTAATATTTTTCATATGAGTTTTAAAAAGAAAGCTAGGAATATTTGACCGAAAAATTAATATTGATTCTCTTAAATTGTCACATACTAAATATATTGATAATTTTTCCCATGCTAGTTCGTGTCTAGCTTGAATGAACATGAATTTAAACTTGAACAATTATTTTCTTGTCTATATCATAATAAATTGCAGCGCGTATAGCCAGCAAAATCACACGTTCTCGACGCGATAAGAACAGAGTAAGATAGAAGAAGTAACCGGGTCTCATCACTTATAAGGAATCTGTTGATACAGAACCTCGATTGACGAGAATGTTTGCTGATGAATAAATAAACTATTTCACCAGGCAACAGGATTGATTAAATTTTCCAGAATTTTCCGAGTTCCGTATCACATACTAACAGTGAAAAGATGAAACATATTCGTCTCACAGGCGTCACTAGCAGTTGGTGGAAAATACCAGCGAGACAGCTCCATAACAATAATAATCGCAAAATACAATCATTTGACAACGAAAAAATTTTTTCTGTTAAAAGTTTTTCTAAGAGTCAACATCGATCAGTGAGAAACATATGTTCGTGTATAAGCATTGAATATTTACGCTGGCACTTTAGAATTTATAAAGGCTTTATATTACTCTAAATTAAAAACTCTATATCATATTTAATCGAGGCACTAAACCACATGATCTGTGGTTTATTGATGTGCTAACTTGTGAATTAAAAGTTACAGCTTATTTAGAACGTTTTCAATTTTCTCATTACTCAGAAGAAGCCTGTATGAAACTATTTCAGCAGTCTTAAGTTTTTAATCTATTTTTAGGAAAAAATGCATTTATGGAAAATATGCACTATTGTGCTCGCCATGTCCGTCCGTCCGTCTGTCTGTCTGTCTGTCCGTCTGTCCGTCCGTCTGTCCGTGACCTCAAATTTTCGTCGACGAGAAAATGCGCTCTCTGTAACTCACTGCAGTGAGTACTGAGTTATATTTTTTATGTTATGTTACAGAACAAACCTTCATCAGTTCATATCAATTATTTACTGCGCTCGTATAGACCGCCGCGTTTCAGGCTGGAAAAGCCTTTTAGCTTCAACCGGTGGTAACATTAGGATTAATATTCTATTATAAAATAATAGAGATATACTCGTAATAATGAAACATCTGCTAAATAATCATGTTTAACTGCCGAACATTGAATGTTAACCTCAAAATTATGTTCAGCCATTTATTACATTTTCAATCGCTTTGGAGCAACTCTCAAATTTCCTAATTTGCGAATCCTTCGAAGGATATTCATTAGCAGGAGATTCAATTAACTCATAGTCGGATATCCTATTTCAGAAAAAAACTGTTCTCTTTTTTGCTCCACCATAATGTTCTCGACACTATACTTCCACTAAATGCTCTGCCATCCACAGCCTGCCATTGGTATTGTGACAACGTCACTGATACGTGCGCCTGACCCTGACAGATGTTTGACAGTTGGACGCTGTCATCTGTCGCAGTTGGCGCGGAAGTATTTCAATGATTGCGACGTCGTGCGGTAAAATGATTTTGAGAAAGGGACTGGAACTGAATGCATGCGTTGATGCTGTCAAATTGGTGCGTGTTGAACCTACGCGGAAACGAACGTAGAAATTTCGAGTTGTGTTCATCTTAAAAAATCCCTGGGAGCCCGAAATTTCCATAGAATCAAATGAATAAAATAACTGCGCGACAAGGTGTTATACATTTTATTCTCGTCGGAATATCACGAACATTCTGCTGTTCGTAGACGTTTTTGCTTACCTAATCAGAGCATCTAATGTGAACGTGCATAGCATAAGGACAAACGTGCAATACTTAGCTGACCGAAGGGTGATCGGAGTAATTCGATACCGTCAAATTCGAATTCAAAATGAGTTACCAAATAACTGTTATTACCACTTTGAATTTATTGATATATCTCGTCTAGCTCCAACATACCGGGTGATTGGCGGAAACTTCCAGTTTTGTATTATGTGCCAAGCAGCCAGATGTTGTAGAAAAAAGGCGGGGAGTATTTCATATAAAAGGCAAGATCATGAAGTTTTGCGTCCCGCCTTGTCAGTTACCACTATGCTTTGTACAAGTGAGCAGCGTGCGTTTGCGGTCGAATACTCGGTTGAGTATTCGTCCTTCAAGTCAGGTTCCTGATCGGTTAGTTAGAGAGGCGTTTCTGCGCTCTCCACACCTTATGAGGCAACATTTTGCAGAACGCCTCATCTCCTTGAGAGGTGACCTTCCTTGGAAGGCCCGATCCCCCGATTTGGCTCCGTGTGATTTTTTAAGGGGTTATCTTAAATTGTCTACACTGACTGTTCAAGGACACTACTTCATTTGTAGAACAACATACGCCATTATACCCCCAAGTCATGGCCAACATACCCGTCAATATCCATCAGTGAGTTGAACGGAACTGCGAAAATCGATCAAATGAATGCATTGACAATGGAGGCCGACCTTTTTCCGTTGTCATCTTTAAAACTAAATGATGCACAAACTCATTTAAAGTCCTTTTCAATAAAATTTATAGTCAATGATATCTTTACTATTAATGTTTTACTGAACTATAAAATTAAGAGGTTTCCATGAACCACCCTGTATATAGAAGAGAGCAAATTTGAACCATTTTATTATAACCATCACGAGTTAAATAACCATTGGTTCATTTATCACGTTCTTGAGTCTCGATACAATGAACGAAACGGTAGAGACAGGTTTCAGTTCAATAATTAAATATTCGTCACTAATCGTCGTAACGAATCGTCCCTATGTAAATCCATAGGTCGGCTCCTCGCTGCTGGAGGTGCTTGGTGACGACAAGCACGACGGCGGCTCAGAAGCTCTGAGCTTCAAGGTCTCAGCACAGCAGGTTAGAGACGATTGTGGTGTTCATGATAATTGTTTCTAGTCTTCCACTCATATTTTTTTCCATGGTTATCAATTGCTGATAATGAATGCAGGGAAATTTTTTTTTTTCGGAGAAAAGAAAAATGGGTTAATTATTCCATTAATCAAATTGATGGAATAATGCATATGTAGTGTAATCGCTAAATCCAGTCATCTAGCCTATAGTTGGTTGCTTGACCATCCTATGCGATGGTCTTCATGTTTCCTGCCTATTTAGTTAACACAAGGGCATGACCAATGAAACTTTGGTAACTGAACAGAGAAAATGTAATTCCAATAAACACAAACAGCTTTCCGACTATACACAGACTTCAAGCCACAGCCTCAATATGGGCATAATGCTGCAGTTTGAAATTATTTTGCAGCTAGGTCTGCAAAGGTTGAAGATACCATTTAAGTATAGTAATAAATCCTTGTACAATTTAAATCTGACAAATAATAATATTACCATACATGTTCAGCGTCTCTACATCGTACCGTGCTGGTCAGCGTCGTGACCACAAGTGACACTTGGTGACGGAGCGATACCGAAAACTAAAAAAAATGCTACAAGAGATGCGTCAAAGCTGCGGCTACAGTACCATCAATACGGTTCCCTCCCTCATCCTACCTATTCCATAGAAAATTAAATAAAAGTTGCCGTGGTGTTCGGAAAATTATTTATATATAATTTATTTACGCATAAAAGAAGATGTTTTAAAATTATTCTTCAAAGTCGTGTACTAAATTACGTTTTATCTCATTGCGTGTAGGTGGTAGAGGCCGGCGGCAGCGTGCAGGTGGAGTGTCGCGCCAGCCTCGGTCCCTTGCAAGACAGGGCCGTCAAAACCCTCAGGGTCAAGATGAGAGACAACTTCTTCATCATCTCTGGGGCTCAGGGTGAGTTGGCCGTCAAAACCCTCAGGGTCAGGATGAGAGACAATTTCTTCTCCATCTCTGGGGCTCAGGGTGAGTTGGCCATCAAAACCCTTAGGGTCAGGATGAGAGACAATTTTTTCACCATCTCTGGGGCTCAGGGTGAGTTGGCCGTCGAAACCCTCAGGGTCAGGATGAAAGATTACTTCTTCGCCATCTCTGGGACTCAGGGTGAGTTATTGATCTTTCGTGAAGGCTCTAAATTTTCATTTAGCGTCATCGTGACACAATGCCAGATGGATATGTATTGTCTCTGGGAGCTGGGTCCCCCTTTTGAATCAATCCTCATCATTCCATATTTCTTTATACGTTATATGCCTTAGAAAAACACTTCACCTTCCACGTCGATTTTATGGAATCTCTGGAGTCCCGCTTGTTTTATTTCCCCTCAGAAGCAAACTTTATTGTTGGTCTCGCAGAAATACTCGTAATTACGAAGCAAGAAACTATTGGTCTCTTATTTCCTTAATAGCACAAACCGTAAAATTAACTTTTGCGCGCGCACTTTTTATCGCTGTGAAATCACATTGCCTAATTCCACAGCGGCCGTATTCTGTTGCATCCGAATTAAGTCATTCGATCAATGCTATGTTTTAGAATATTCAGTGAATATCAGTTATATTGACTCTTCTCAATCTATATACTATCCTGCTTGTTGAATGTGCGCTTTTTTATTGTAGAAACAACATAAAAACTTTTTATTGGAGAAAAGTTATGGGCAAATTATAACTTCATAGAAAAAAACTTGCGGTTTTAATTATCTGACTGATTTGTTTTCTGCAGAAGAGGGCTGGAATGTAAATTCATAAAAAATAATTTAAATTCAACAAAATGTCACTTAAATTGAACGTTTCATTTAGCATTTTGGAACCTATCAGTTACCAGTTTATATAAGGTTCAATTCAATATCTACAAGGAGCAAAACTTCACGGAATTAATACCTTACTTTAATCTCTGCAGTACTGGTGATCTTAGTGCTTAGTGATAAGTGATCTTTGCACGTTATTTTTTACAGGTACTTTAATCTCTGCAGTATTGGTGATCTTAGTGCTTAGTGATTAGTGATCTCTGCTCGTTATTTTCTACAGGTACTTTAATCTCTGCAGTACTGGTGATCTTAGTGCTTAGTGAATCTCTGTACATTATTTTCTACATGTACTTTGATCTCTGTAGTACTGGTGGCTTAGTGATTAGTGATCTCTGCTCGTTATTTTCTACAGGTACTTTAATCTCTGCAGTACTGGTGATCTTAGTGCTTAGTGATTAGTGATCTCTGTACATTATTTTCTACATGTACTTTGATCTCTGTAGTACTGGTGGTCTTAGTGATTAGTGATCTCTGCACGTTATTTTTTACAGGTACAAGTCGCGTCGAAGTTAGCTTCATGGCAGCGACGATGCTCGCTGCAGCGCGTCTACTCTTAGGGGTCAGCTGAAGCCGAGAGGACATCAGCTGAGAAGAAAGATTCATTGAATGCTTGTCCAAGCATGCAGCGTGGTTAATTTAAGTATTATTCAGAAGTTTGCCGAAGCAGGTTAGGTCCATATCAAATAATCAATAATAATTATCAATATAATAACTCATCACAGGATTAAGATTATATGCATCAGAAGCTGGTAACAACATAGCGCTCCTAGAGAATTATTAAACTATTCATCACCTTAGAGAGCATAGTTCATGACGCAAATCAGCACGCAGGAGGTAAAACATTGGAGTCGAACAAAACATATGAGCTTTCTTGCAGTAGTCGGACTAACATCTAGTTTTAGAGCATAGTTAATATATACAAAATGATGTTAGGCAACTGTGCGGAATCAAAAACTCAATAGAAAAGTTAATTATACAAGGTAATTGAAGCTGATCAGAAATTTGTAAAACTCACAGCCCCACCAGCCCTTAATTTTCCTTGTATTTGATACATCGCAATTGACGTGATAACTTTGGCCATCATTTACTTAGAGACCTCCGTTTGAATTTCTCTGCCTCGACGTGGCCTGTTCCCTTCGTGATAGTAGCTGTAGACAATGAGTTTTCTAAGCTATTATATATGCTTAACTATCGTTTGTGTCGTGTAGCAAAAATTTGTGCATGTCTATATTTTATTAACATGGCTTGAGTGCATTTTCCACGTCGTAAGACATATATTGGAATGATTGCGTTGAATGTTTGTAGAAGTATTTCAAGGAAAATATTCTGTTTGGTGATACAATCGATGTGAAAAATTTTTTCGAATTCCTGCTAACCAATTTATATTTACTTACACGTGGTGGGAAAATATATATTTCTTTACTTGTAACTTGCACTAAAGGAACATCATGCTGAGGTACGATAACGTCTTTCTTACTTAGATTTCCTTAAATTATTTCGTAATAGACGATTAGGTAATCAATTAAGGATGTGGGATTAATATTTTAATGAAAATCTAGATTTTATATCAAGTACTTTGCTATGTGCCCGGAAGCGAGCAATCACTTTGAGCCGTAAACAGAATTTTAGATTTCTTGGTCTATCATAGGCTCTATAAGTTAAAATAAGAAGAATTGTTGAATTAAATCATCGATAGAAATTAAAAAGCCTCTATTTTTCTTCCAAATTATCATTCATTTTCAGTAAAGCCACTTACACGAATGAGTTCAGATTAAATATTTGTCAGTTTTCTTCATAACGAAATTGTGGTTTTCTGCTGGTTAGTTTTTTCTCAATAATTTTCCAGAAATTTGAGGCTGATTTGCCTTGCGACAAAAGAATATGAACAACTTCAGACGGAGCAACCTTAAAGCTGTGCACAAAAAATAAGTTGCGTTCAATATTAGTCGCTTTTATTGAGGCGCTATCAAAAACGAGCGTGGTGACGCCAACAAATTGTCTAATTGAATGTATCTTCTATAAGCTGCTTACTCTCTAAGCATATAATTCAAATTAATGACTGTTTAACTCCCACATCAAGTAATGATACCTCTCCCTACTCTATAATTTATCCTCATGTCTTATTTTCACGTATAGTAAGATAGCGATAGCGATTTGTTAGAGTTTTAGTCCCCAAACAATCAATTTAGGTAGAATTATTTTTTGAATATTTTACCTGCCTCACGGGTAAATACTCTATTGTTGTGAGTAGTTATATAGGAGTAGAAACATAAGACCAATTCCTAAATAATCTTCCCACTTAATTAATTCATTCTCCTCAGTCCCGTCCTGAACAAGCTGTGTATCAGTAACTGCCATATACTTCCAGGGTGACTGCTAAAATTAAGTTAAACAAATTTTTGTGTATGGAGCGATAAACTTTTCACATTTTGAATGTGAAATAAGACGTTCAAATAATTTGAAACCTCCTTGCATGTAAAGTTCCAGTTTCCTTTGATACTTTATATCGAGTGTAAAAAGCATCAGCAATGTTTATGAAACAAAGTCCACATTTTCTGTTTTCTTTATGAGTGTAATGTAGAAATTTCATACCAAATCGCAACAAAATCTATCATAAGCATCAATAGTTATTCCTACGGTTCTCTAGTGATTATAAGTGAACGGCCTATAACGCTGTACAGTAATTAACCCTCCACCGCCGTACTATCACTCGCCGCGAACATAACTTTCAACATAAATTATGCGTAAACTATTGAGTGTAGCAATCTAAGGACGTTTTGTACGCAGCAGAGAACATTTTAAAGTTGTCGTACGTGGTGGCAACCGTTAGCGCAAGTCATTTTGCGCTCAATAGAACGTATTCTTTTTGGGAAGTAGGCTAGTGACAATACTGCTCCGGTTGCTCGTGTCAGGCGGTAGAGGGTTAAGATCCTTCTTTTGAAGACTGCTAGTTGATTCTGTGACCCAAATTTAGGAACTTTAATTTGATGATACTTCCCTCTGGCTGGCTGGTGTTATAGAAAATGTAATCGATAAAAATTAATACTTTTTACTAATGCGGAGCAGTATTTCCAGCCTCCTTGTTAAATTAAGACTAGACTGTAGATTAAAATGATTAAAATATAAGAAAGTTCAGGTAGAGCCACTGGCAGCAAGAAAGAAAGTCCGAAAATTTTAATCTAATTGTGTCTGCGATATATTAGATTAATGACAAAATAGAATGAGTAACGAGTTTGATATCGTATGACGATTTCCTATGGGAGTGAATACATAAGCTAATTGAGACTTTTTAAAACAATTTAATTTGGAAGTTTCAGATTTTGCGCCGAATGTAATGAAAGAAGATAATGTTCTTGCCATAGAATGAATGAAAGAATTTGGTAGTTTCAACAATATATGTATTAAAGAATTACAGAATTGACATTGTTTCCCACTAACCTAATATTTAAGCAACATGATGAAAGAACAGGAAAAGAAAAAAAACTGGTCATTCGCTGTTATCATCATATTAGCTTCACTACATCGACAACATTTCCGAAGGCAGTAAAAAGTTGGAGGTGCTTCCGCAGGAAAAAGTTTTTTTTTTGTTTATTAGCAAATTAAATGCCAAGAAAATTTAACTTATTTTCATTGAAATCACTTCCGCGGCCAGTTTTATTATCGGTACACAATTCAATCAAACGTATAATCAAACGGACATCAAATTAACTCTGTATAGAATAAAACTTCAACGATAAAAGGCGCGGTCACATAATAACCTTTAGCTCACTATTATTAAAGAAAAATGACCTATATACGAATTATTCATAAGTAGTTTCCTTTTCCCCCCAAAAAATTCAAAAATTCTCACGTCAGAAAAATTTGAGATGGAAGTCATAAAATAACTTTGCATAAAAAGTAGAAAAATAGATTCAAAAATATTTTCTAATTGCGTTATTGATCAACATTTTAAATATTGGTTCCTTATTGAAATGAAAATTTGTTATTCTTGCCTAGACGAAGTCCACGCAAACTTACGAGAACAGTTGTGCGCAGTGCGCATTTTGGCTTGCATATGGAGTATGTCACGTAACTTCTACACCATCTTGGCCGGTAAGAAGGGAAGGAGCTATCGTTCTTTGGGAATCTGCTCGTTCTGCCCATCCACTTCATTTCACTGTATCAGGTACCGTGTACCAGAGAGTCTAATATTTTAGTCTTTAATATTTAGCTTCACTCTTTCCGTGCTTTTATATAAGAAGTTTTGAATCCTTACATTGAACTAAATTGAACTAAATACCGAGCATATTTTTTTCGTATACCTTAGGTATTGTTATGCGAGTGTTTCATAGCTGCTTCGCATTTGAACATACAGGTTTCCATTCCACTGTATCTTCCGTTTAAATATCCTTCTATTACTAAACTTTGAACTGAATTAAAAGGTAGAAAATTTTCTTTACATTTTCAGTTAAATTTTTGAGATATGACCTTAATACTTAAAACCTATTTTCAGTAACGTATCATAATTATTCATTTGAAGTATATCTTCTTGTTGAGAAAGTTCATCTTCCAAAGCATGTATATATGAAGTTTATCTTCTGGTCGGTTCTTGATTTAGAAATATACTTCTGAATTTAGGCATAGTGGGGAATAATATAATCATATGTTTTAAGACGATAAAAAATGCAACCTATTTTAAAACTATTCTAATATCTCTTGATATTGTCAGAAATTTTAATCATTAGCAGTTTAGTTCACAACTCTAAACTTGTTTAATCATTCTAAATAATAGTGAAAAATTTTTTTCATGCCATTTATTTCAAATAACTTGTAGATACGATTTCTACAAAATAATTAAATCCTTGCAACTAATCCACTGTAATTGAAGCAGGTGGACTATTAAAGAAAGCCAAAATAATTCTGAATTCTTATCGGATGTGATTTAAGTGCCTTTCCATTACGCCAGCTTATCGTGAACCAATTAAATCTTTAATCTCGAATTCAAATGGCCTCTTGACTGCTTTGACACATCTGCGATGCCATGAATATTTCAATCGACTTTTAAGAATAAAATATATAGAATTAGACGATGATGATCGAGACTGATTTATTGAAGGAATTTCGGTCTCCAGACCCAATAATTTCAGCTGAACAGACCGTTGAGTGAGCTTGGGAACTGTTGGACAATTGACGTCTTGTTAATGGAGAAAAATATATAGGAAATTTTATTTGAAAATAGGCAGGAGACAAGTGGATTCTGATTAGTAAAAGCAAATGGCTTCTGTTGTTGATCATTTCGTAAAGAAAATTAACTTTCAGAGACAACAGCTCATTGAACCATGCAACCGGCTAGAGGATTTCGTGTGAATATTTTTTTGGAATTACAATTAATGTGTCAAAATTTAATAAATAATAATAAAATTATAATAATAATAACTTAATAACCATAATAACTTTTAAAATGCTTAAGTTTTAACTGAGGTTAACATCATGAAATAATGTTATTTAACCACAAACCAGTCTGTCATAGAAGACAACGTATAAATCAAGGAATATCTTCTACCATGTGAGAAATTTCGATTTATCGCATTTTTATTCTTTATATTTCATTCGGCTGCTTATTCATTATTGTGAATTTATGTACATGTAGTACCCTAACTTAAAATTATATGTGTAACACGATATGAAAAATGTATTGACTTCATAATTGTTAAAAACGCCGCAAAATTTTCAGAGATACGTTTCAATATACATTATCCAGAATTTTTTCAACATCAAATAAAGGTTCTCCAGTAGGTAGAATCATCCTTCGACTAACATCGACGAAGAAACCAAACTTGCGGTAGCCACGATAAAATCAAATTTCATTTCAAGAAACTGACCAATTCCAAGTCTCTCGCGGGCTGTTCAAACTCCAATATAAGTAACGACGATGTTCAGAATAGCGGCAAAAGCACAAAAACATAATTTGCACAATTCCCTCAACGGGCGGTTATTTTGAACTCTGCAATTTGATGCATGACATTGCCCAGACTGATCCAGGGCCCTTGTTTGAGTGGCAGTCATCATTTACTTTTACAATAACGACAAACCTTGATTCATTTCCTATCCCAAATACGTTTTTGATGAATATGAATCTGCCTTATCGTTGGCACTCGTATAACAAGAGTTTTTTAGGAAACCTGGTTGCATTTGGACCTCATTACTCTGAACTATGGTTTAGATCGCAAATGGATAGAACTCTGAACTCTAAAATTAGCAAAGCTGAATTCGAAAATCGAGAACATTTACTCCTTCAATAAGAAAGAAGAGAAATACTCAATATTCATTCGTATGACTCATAGGAACCATCAAATTAATGATTTGTAAAGACCCCGAAAGACGCGCGCAAAATGTCGAAAACTTGGACGCT